GATAGTGATTTTCTATCAAATGAGTGAGCGAATGATTATTTCTATGCATGTATTCCACGAAATATAATTGGATATTTAGAGGCATCGAAAATCAATGAAAAAACTGCATGCTTATTAAATAGTCATTTTTCACAGAGTGCGGCTCTTGCCGGAAAAGATTCGTTTATAAACCGACAGCCATAGGCTACTGAATTATTATATAATCATGCTTCATGCTTATTATTTTTACAACCCTTCTTAAATGATCTATTCGAAGAAAAACTCATTTTATAATTTCGGCAATTATTTCATGAGTCAGCACACCTAGTGTACCGAGTAGCTGCCGCATAGGGAACGTCAGAGCATAACTGACAAGTCTGACTCTCGCAGATGCTTAAGGGAGCGGTGAAGGAATACATGTACTTAAGTTACAAATATGTCAGACAAATGTGTATACTACTGACTATGGTGTTGTGCAGTTCTGCTGCATTTGCAGTCAAGGACACAGCGTGATTATCCTGCACATATCAATAGCCTTGAGTCTAAACTATCCTAAGGATTTCGGACAGAGGCTTAAGGATATTCAGCGTAATAGCTTCCGACAAAGTGAAAGTTGACAGCAATGCGTGTTCATAGTTTATTATCCCAAAAGCCGGACACACAGTGATCATTTCCTCTTAAGAATCTTCAAAAGATGAAGCTTTTTGCTTGAAAGAAAAATGTTCATTGCGTTGAAGACTGCCATATACATCAAAATCAAAAAATGATGACTTTATACCTAAAGCTCAAAGTAAATTATGCTGTTCCGGTTAAAAGTCTCCTGATTTCACCAACAGACTGCCTTGCACTTTAAAATTTTTCATTCTCAACAAATAAGATGGTATTTACCTTATCTGGGAAAACCTACTCCGTCAACGAAATCCTGCCCAGTATATCAAAATGTTTCAGCCATGGCCAATGGTGTATTTTAAATTTCAAAGTCAGCAGCCGATAACTGCGCAAATCGTTTAACGCTTTCGAATCTGAGTCTTTTCTTACAGGAAGGACATTTATGGAAGTTTACTGTAGGACTCAATTGCACAACTCAGTTAAATGTTCTTTTTTGAGACTACCGAAGACGGCATAAACCCTTTAATCCGAAAGTCCCGAAATACAAAATGTTTCTGTCAAACTTTTAACACCGCATGTTTTCCTTTGTACATTATACACAGTCTTGCGCCTAACGAAATTTACGACTGTGCACCGTCGCACACGTTCAAATAACTGAGTTATCTGAACATCGACAAGTTAGTTTTAGACATGGCCAATGTATTCGAGAATGTAAATCGCAAAGTGAAATCAGCTTAGACTATTTTGTCGCGCGTATTTGGGATTTAAACGCAGATAATCATAAAAAAGTTGTCCTGGACAATATTAATTATGAAAAATTACCAGAGCACATGGATATATTGCATCTAACTATAATTTTTGAGGCAGATTTTATGAATGTTTAAGACAACTAAGGTGAACTAGACACTTAGTATTTTTCCAGTAGTCTGCTCTACAGTATGCACAGGCTAGCCAGACGCTAGCCGCTACACGCTTTTTTTCCAAGACAAAAAGCCCTAAAACACCGCCAAATATAAGTGGTGACAGAACCCTTAGATCCAAATGCATTAACAGTTTTGGTGATATTCCATGGTAAACGTGTTATTCAGTGCCTGAAATTAGTCGAACACTCTCAGTAAGAACTGAAAAAGTCATCCAGTGGTGATGTAGCTTCAACAGAGTTGCAATACGGGTGTTTTTCAAAGAATACAATTTATTCCCAGTTGAGTTTTTCCAATTCGAGTACAGCACTTAAGGTACTAAGTGGACTGATTCTTTAAAAACTGGCCAATTAGTGCAGTCATTCAGATGATATTCGATTCATAACAGTCAACATGTGACGGATTCAGTCATACTTGCATTCTGCATCTATTACTTAACACCCCCCGTCACTTGCATAGTTTCGAAACTGTAATTTCTATTATGGAAAAGTTTCAGGATAAGAAAATCTATTTCGAGCCATTCCACTGTTTGATTATTTGCAAAGGTGGAAGGTCAAAAAACGGCGGCTGAGATGCTGGGATAAACGAGGCTTTACACAGTCTTCCTAGATAAAATCTGTCAACAGGAATAGAGGTTTCTGGCTTACTCGCCTTCAACAGACAAAGCTACATCCTTACGGCTGCCTTCTGGCTTAAACCCTGTCAAATAAGAGGGGGGATGCTCAGTAATATAACCGTACCGAACACTAGTCTATCTTATTTGAAGGATGAATACGTCTTGTTTTGCACATGATAATCTGTAGCCCATGTGACATTTGAATGGCGGGCGGTAATTAAGTAATCTAATTCTAAGCGACAGGGACGTCGGAAGAGCCACTTCTGACCTGGTTGCCATTGTCAGGCCGCTCTTTCGAGGTTGCGAGACTACAACGCCCCAAGGAAGTCGAGATAGCGCGATAAAAACACTATTAAAGATGGTGCAGTAGGATATTTTGTCTAGGTGCGATCAGTCTTGATGTACACTAACAAAATATTCATTGCATGGAATCCAGCGGCCCTCTGTGGTCATTCAAAACACAAAAGTCCCCAAGAATCAGGGAGCGTCTTGTCAGGCCGTCTGTGTGGAGGACACAAAAAAGCGATTCTAAACAATGGATTAACTCCTTCTTTACTGGCGAACCAATGCGTAACTCTCAAAGACAAACAAAATCAATTTCTGCGGAATCGATCCCACTGAATGTTAGATGCTGACGCTTTGGCAAACGGGCACAGCTCACATTAGTATGTACAATATGGCACCTTGTCGTTTTAAAGGCCTAGGCAAACGTCGCAATCGAGAAGGCTCCCAAAGTTGGCGTAGAATATCCCCTCACCGAACTCAGATACTCTGGCCGAGAGGAAATCTCGCAACTGGGCAACGGAAACATTAGCTAAAATGGCAGACAGTCCCCGTACGGAAGACCGATAATTACTATGTCACCTACTGTCGAAAAACTTTGCCGATTACTGTCATGCATGATCTAAACAGATTATGCGAGGCAAGAAACATGTCTACTTTTGGAGCTTCGGGAAATTAGGCGAACAATTCAGCACGCTGCAATTTTATCGTTATTTATGCTTGAAAACGCACACTGTCGCCTCCATCATTAATAATTCAAATGCCTGCAGAACTCCGTTCTTCTTTTTCATATAGCCGACAGTATTTTCGTTAGTGTCCAAATCTGAAGTGTCCAATTTTTACCAGATATAAATCATGATATTTTATTCTTTTCGTCATACGTGCGTGAAACAAAACATCCTTGCTTGGTTTGTTAGAGATGATTGCGAGTTGCAAACGTCTAGGTTCAGTCTGCTTCTCAGGATGGACTTATTATAACTTTTGCTGGTTGTCATTGAACTGGAATCCACTACTGTTAGCTGGCCCAAGAATAAGATGCATGATTTACTAAGGACTTCAATATATTGGTTAGCATACTATTTCGCTCTCTGGCGTATTGTAAGAACAAACATTTGCAGACTCTGTGATTGATTGTTTTTGTAGTACATGTAGGTGTCTTTGGAAATTTAAAAAAACTTAATTTCAGAGATAGCTTTTCCCCAAATGTGCCGCCAGCAGCGGCTCTTCGCACTCAAGCGACTATTAAACTATGTGATTGGTCAGGATAGCTTGTTCGGGGTCAAGTGTTTTAAGAGCATTGTGTAATATAGCTGAAGCAAAAAATAATTAACTGGAGCACGAAATTACGGTAACTATTTTGTGGCTCTACTGCAGACTTCAAAGTCTGCTCACTTAAGTGGGTGAAATTCCCAGTCAGCCAAAAAATGTTAGCTGTTCACATTGCAGCGCAGTTTGGGGGCAATGCTATAAAAATGGAGTTGCCTCCAAAGGCTTTATTAGCACTATGAAACTATAATACTTGCATCCGAATAAAGCATTTTCGAATGAGCGCCGTACACCACATGTACATAAATAGGACCAATGCACCAGCGGATCCCGACGACAGTTAAAATGCCTACGCAGATACATTAGGCAGCAAGTTGATTGTTGAAAATTTGTGACAATACGCTAGCAGAATTGCAATGTTCAGACTGAAATGGTTCTTGTAGTCGCTGCTGTGCTGACAGAATTCCCACGTACTGGATACAGTCACAGCAAGGACAATTACGTAGACTGTAGACGTCCCACTCCAAGGTAAAAATAAAACGTTCATCTTCGTCTAGCAATCTAGATTGATGGCCTAACATTTTTCTTGGTTGATTACTTTGTCCTCATCTAGACAATGACCGTTTACACCAACAATATTCTTCACGTAAAAGTTTCAGAAAAACGCTTTCTACAGTACTACGCAAAGTAATATTATCATATTTTATTTCGAAAAGTAACCTCTGAAAATATGAAGGCCTTTGATCAAAAAAGGTAATAATTGTGTGCAAATATTTAAAAAGCTTCTCTGGGAGGTTTACTACTCAGTAGTAATTCTGTCACAACTCTGACTTCGTAACTAGCAAAATACGTCTCCAAAGTGCTCCTCAACAACGTCAAATTTACTCATAATCTTCCAATAGGAGGCAAAAGGCATGTATCTATTTTTTATTCCGTCCTTTGTTAGGCGAACATTATCCTACTTTATGCGACTTTTCAGTTCAAATCATGTAGTAAAAGCTCAAATATTCCACAAAGTTGGATGTAAAAAAGTTTGTAGAACGTTTGTGTGGAGCGAAAACCCTCGCATTACTTGGTAAAAGCTGTCTTTTCATAACATAAGTCAAATTTATTATGATATCAGGATCATTTATTATTTTGGGGGAAAACGGACAACATCTACACATATGCTAACGTTTTTAAATTACATTCTTATGCACATATTCTAACAGTTAAAATGTGGGCAAACAATGCCCTTAAGACCATTCTGTAAGACATAAGTTAAGTAAAAATCTGAGTAAACTCACCCTTTAATTAGCGGCGATTTTCCTTATACAGGCTTAAGAAGTTATGGTCACATGTTTGGCTTATTGAACAAGGGGATTTTTAGAAGTCATTCTATGCCTGCTTAATAGATAAATGCAATTCGTTAAGATCTAACGAAAATAGGGTCCGGAAATATCCAATCCTTCTACATTTGCAGCCCGCGGGTAGTCGTGTCCCTTATGCATTTGGAAATGATCGCAGGTTCAAACACCGATTTATTAAGACTTTCAATAGGTCAGACAACGGTCTTTCAAAAAAGTCGGGGATTTTTCCCTTTCGGGAGCGATAAGGATTAGGCAGGATTGTTTAGAGACAGTGCTTCGTCGAACTCGTTTGAAAAATTGAATGCAATCCCCTGGGTTTCCCCCAAAGCTGCCGTCCATACATTTGGTGAAGCGACAGACAAAAAGTTATTCTTTGGAGCTAAGATCTATCTGGTCTGCTTAACTATGGCATAACGTAAGCAATTTCTTTGTGGATATGTTCAAAAATAAACTCGACTTAGGCTTATCTCAAAGATCTGTTTCCAGCATATTTCTATTATCGTGATCAGCGGGTCAGCTCTGAACGAAGACGGGGATATTTGCCCATTCGGAAATGATAATCTAGACCTGGTATCTGCACAGTGACATTTTAACCACGAGTGTTGAAATTAAAGACTCGCTATAAGGAGTAAGATGCAATTATTATTAGCTCTTTGATCGGTTAACTGCGTTTTGTGCAAGTGGCGTCGCTTTGCTATTATCAAGCTTGGAATTTATAACAGTTATCGATACTTATAAAGTGGGATTTTCTATTTAAACTCTACCTATTGTTTTTGGTGACCCAAATTTTTTAAAGCTAAGAGAACTGATTAGCTAAAGAGAAACAACGCAGATATACCAGCGTTATTTATGAAATATCATAGGAAATCCCTTTCAACATGAAGCCATTTTGGAAATCGTTCTTCATTTCCGCCATGGCGTTTGCTTTAGCAAACAAACTTCAATATTCTATCCGACGGCCAAACAAGATCTGTGAATAATACTCCCTATCGACTTGAAATTAGTTTCTTTAAAGCTTATTTGCTAAATGAAATGTATCAAGCACTTAAGGTGATATAATAACACAAATGTTTCGAGTTGAAATGACCATGCAAAACCCACTGTGATCTTAATTTTACTTTGTGTGAAATAATTTACGTGATTAGTGGAGATTAATACAATAAAACCTTTTGACTGCCCTAAAAAATTTGCCCGGCTTATTAATTAAGACAGTTGCTACGGCACCTAAAGGTGTTTACCGCGAGTCAAATATGGCGGACTGGTGGTCATTTTTCAATAAAAAACTCAAAAACATCAACGACTGTAAATTACCTGTGACCAGAATAAGGCGTACATTTTAGACCATCTACTTCTTAGCTGTCTTAGGACTGTTTGTTTTCGAAAAGGCCTTCCAAGTGTTTGCTACAAATGTTGGAGTGCTTTTCATAACATCATCCTTTAACTTTTATAAAATCGCAATTTATGAGTAAACAAACCGAAATTCACTTAACATTCTTAGAAATAGGCAGAAAAATTGCCCAGGTTTCCATGTCTTTGTATACTGAGCGGATTTATTCTTCAACAGTTAATTTTTCAAGCCAAGCTGCGTGAGTAGACTATTTCGACTTTTAGGAGAGTAAAAATCGCGGTAACGTCTGTGGGCTGTTTGTGAAACGAAGACCTTTCCCATATGTGAAGACTGCTCAGACAGCTGTTATTCTTAAACACATAAATATAAGTCACTATGACATCGGGAACAGTGATTATCTCCTAGCAAATTTACCCTCATCTAACCAATTGTTAACATTTGCATGTCCCCTTTTTGTGCGGGCCTTCTAATATTCACAGCCGAAGTATGATATGTTCAACTGTCAGTTAGAAGATGTCATCCTTGAAAATTAGATTGCATGCGGGATTAATGATTTATGGACACCTTTCCATAACAAAGTAACACCTAAGGTAGAATACTGCCGAAACGCACAATCTACTCTGATTATTCCTGCCAAATTTGCAGTCTCCAGAGAGTCATGCCCTTGACTCAGACTGCGACGAGAACAGACGTGGTCACATACCCTACAGGTTGGACACATGTTCGGAAAATAAATCCACCGGGTATTCTGCTTTCGTGCTTTATTGGAAACACGCAAGATTGAGTGGGTATCGTGCCTCATCGATACTATTTAAAAAGAGCGTGAGATATCCCAGGTTTCCCTTAAACTCCCTGTTCATAGATTTGGCCGACAAATAGCAATCCGTCTGACTCAAACAATATCTCTGTTTCATTTATTTACGGTACAATATAATCTCTTTGCCGGTTAATTCTGAAAACAAACATAGCGTACACCTCTCCAAAGACGAATTGTTTCTATGCCAAGTTTATATCCCCACATAATCAGAAAGTTAAACTTCAGGTACGAATAAAGATATTTAGCTGACCGATGTCGCGTGTCCCAACCTGGTATGTGGATAATAACGTTTTATTCATACATATATAAATGACAAATTCCTCCGAAATACAGCGATCCTTCTGTTACTAGTCTTCCAACCCAGAAGCTGGGTTTTGCGCAGTTCGAATGTGCGTTCTTCTTAGTGTTTACAGTTCACAATAATTACTGATTATTTCTTACGTAGCCTGCAACATCTAGAAGTAGGTTTATCGCAAAAACTCCATCAAATTCAACAACTACTGACAGAACTCATGAACTTACTGTGAGTGAAACCACACAGAACCCAGTCCCTTATTTAAAAATTGCTTTCTTACCTTGCATCAAATGACTGAGAAGTGTTCCGTTACTGCTCCAAGCTTCTCTGGAGGTAAAGGATGAGGTGTTGCTAAAAAAATCTTCCTCGATGTCCAGTTTGCCGGCATAGTCCATGCTCTCATGGGTTGCAGCCTCTACACCATCCTCTATTCGGCCATCCGAGGACTGCTTGAATGACCAAATGTGAGGCAGATTAAGGGGTAAGTGTGCCGTAGACGGTGCTGCACTAGTCGTTTGCACTGAGGTAACATTGACTGTGCGTGTCTCTTTGCCAGCATGGAAACAACTCCATGCACCGTCAATGGCGACATTATACCGATTGATGATATATCGGAATTTCCATATATTATACATGTCTCGGACAAAAGCGTCCTCCACACAATCCACACTGAAAAGCTCGGGACTGTCTGAACAATCCGGCCGACTGCAAACACGTCTGCAGTTCTCGAAACAGAGTCGAGTCTCTGGAATCAGGGGACAAAGAAGATGAAGGCTGTGCTGTTTTGAGGGTAGGGATACCTCACATGTGAGAATCACCACGTCCGCTGAGGTATCCACGTATAAGCGAACCTCACTCTCAACGCTCCATTCCGATTTTGGTCCAACTGTGGTGCTGACTGTCTGGGCACCTGAAGCATGCAGACCGAAGAAGACGCCCAGCTCATCAACATTCTTTCCTTGGGCTGCAACACCTAAATTCAAAATAAACATAATTAATAGACCTATCTAAATCGAAACTGAAGGGCAGTCGTTATGAAGAAATTTAAATGTACGAATCAGGAAAAATGGAATGTGGATCAGCTCTCGCAGTTAGAAACTTTGTTGTAAGCGCCTGAAGACAGGGCATTTTGGTCGAATTCGGAGACACGCAGGTCGACGTCATCGCATAAAAATCACCTTCTGACTGCTTGAACCTTTGATGTTACACCGACTCTTTCAAGAGCACGGTCTCATTCTTACAATTACAGTAGAATGCAAAAAAATGAATATTACTGTTATTTATTTTCGCGCGGTCCTTGAGGACGAAGACACAATAAGAGACCACAAACACATTGTACTGGAAACTAATCCCGTTAACATTCAATCAAAGACTATTTTGACAAGTAACTTTTAAAGGATTTACTTAGAACACCACACCTGATCTACCTATTCCGAATCTCAAATATAATCCGTTTTCTGATATAGAAGGATGGCGTAAGAGGCTGGCGTCAGTCCTCTGAGGATCAGTGGCCGACATTATCACCCATATTAATGCAAATTCGTTGTTGACAATTAAAATTAAATCATTAGCAATAAGCTGGTGTGCAGCGAGCGGGAGTCTCTGTAATTTGTGCTCAACACCACATATTGTGTCGCACGACACATATGCAGTCAGGAAACGGTGTTCACGCTGCGACCAGCGTTAGCTGTTGTGTGTGTCGAATGTACCACAACTGTCACTGACAACCACCCGCTGTACGTACACCAGTACTCTCACCTGGGAATTATCACCTGAAGAACAATCAGTGTGCGCGACGGAATACTAGTCTCCAGAGCTAACCACACAGTTGGTATCCCAACAGCACCTTTCTAAGCACCAAACGGAACATGCACACGGCTGCTGTCCTGACAATCCAACCTTTCCCGCTGATGAATGTTTGAGATATCAGCTGACTTACGGATACCCAGGTCCTGGACCCGACTGGCACTCTCAATAACTTTGCCGAAGTAAAACGCCTTGAAATCTGACGGAATGGTCATGTCGTGCGCATGCAGGAGCGATCCCTCTAGGTTGACACATTATGGATGCACGAAGGCATGGTGTACAAAGACACCCCTGCAGAGGAATCTAGCATACCCTACACAGATACAGAAAATGCGAGCATAAGGGCTTGAAAAACACCTACTTAGAATAGGGCAGGCCTGTTGGTTTGCCGGGAGAACTCGTGCAGCAGCTTCCTAAGTCCACGGAATACGAGAGGTCAGGGCGAAATGGCAGGCACGTAAGACAAGAATGTCGTCAACAAGGCCATCAAAGTTAAACCACCGTCAATAAATCTACATCGTGAAAGTTTAGACGTCGCATCCGGCAATGTCTGCCGTGTGCATCAAATCAAGACAAAAAAAGACTTGCGCGTTAACTAGTTTGTAGTGAGAGTATACCCGTGCAGCATCTACCGAATTTTCTCCCCCCCCCCTGAACCCGATATCAGGACAGTGTCAAGAAGACCAGTGGCGGGGGAGGGCGCAGGCGGATGGCGTGGTCGAAGCCTCAGCCTGACGCTCGACTCCACACCCCCGGGTCCACAACACGCACTTGACCAGAATTTTGACCAACAATAACAGAAGAGACTAGGCAGACATGCACACGACCTGAATACCCAGCGGGAGCGCCAGAGAACCGGGTGCCAGAAGATTGCCAACGCACTCCAGGCTGAAATTGCTATGGTTTGCTGATCAAGGCATAGCAGACGCTCAAAAACCTTGGATGTACACCATACCCGCCTATTAACCACTTGACTTGGCTGAATTACATAAGATCGGATTCGAACAGAATCGTCGCGACTATTCATCCCTCTTCCTTTCAAGCAGCAAAACGCCACCAACACTGAAGAACCACTTCCCAATGTCCTAAAAATACCATCATTTTCCTGTCGCTGTTAATTCTAGCTGGACAATTTCCTACCCACTACACTAGCTATACCCCTCCCTACTCATCCCCCCCCAACAATAAGGCGTGTCAGCCAGCATTTTGGGCACAGTAACAATTTGTCTGCACTGTGACTGATTATTTTTAGCCCCACAACACGATGGGACACCAGCTGTCTGCCTACTGACCATGTTATGAAAGCTGCAAAAAATATCCGTCAAACTCGTTTTCTCCTGTCAAAATCCTTACCCCTCGCCCTCCAGGACACTGCATGAACTCATTCGGTCCTATTCCCATGCGTAGTAAAGTTCCCAGAATGCTCCAGCATTCATCTCTCACACAAACATTAATCGCTCAATCACTCCTCACATAATAGTCGTGCATGGATTTCGTAAACGTTGTTTATAGTAATTGGAGGATGGATTTTTGTATGGGGGCACGCGATGGATGGAGGTCTCGCATGAAGTTAATCCCCTCAACAGTTTATAAAGAGGGTGAAAGTATTAGAGGCCAACAATGGAACTCTCGTTTTTACTCTACTCAATACTTCATACCTTAAACCCTCTATGACGCGTCAACGATCGCGGTTAAGGAGGCTGCCAACTGAAAGAGTAGTTTAGTCTTCCGTCGGAAAAAGGGTTGGAATCGAGATTTTCCTTTCTAATATGTGGCTTACAAGGTCCTTTTTGAGCATGTTTGATGCAAGCCTTTGTCCAGTTGACATTGATGGGTGCTTTACATCAGTTCAACCACTGCGCCTAATTTAGTCTCCAGTCGAGTCTTTGAAATGAGAGGGGAGTCGAAACTGAGGTGGTTCGTGATCGAAGCCAATGCTTAGGTCCATTACTTTAGACGGAGTAAGCGGTCTTTAAATCGTCAAAGTGAACCTACTGAGATGATGGCCAGTCTGTGGGTTAACTCCCAAAACGAAGATCAGATTGGTATATATTTTTCATAATGCAGTGATTACTGCTTCGGTATCCCCTCCTTGAGAAATGGTTTATTTAGAATTAGGAACAAGTTCGCGTTCTATGCGTGTAGCTTTGGGTTTAACCCTATCATCAACTGCGTTTTCGCCAATCTGCAGTTGCAATTAGTTTTACCACCAGAATTAGTTGAGTTTGCAACCGGAAGGTGATGTGGAATTTGCGTAAATTTGCTTCATTGTAAACAAATTCAGACATGAGTCATTACTGACTCTTACGCGTGGCATCTCACCTTTTCACGGTTTTCGATAGACAAGTTGTTTAGGATTGAAGTAGATTCACCTCTTACTATGATCCACGAAAGTAAATGTTGACATGGTCCTACCACCGAAGTACGGTGGATGATATGATATTCAAGATTACTCATTCTTGTAGACGCTGCTAGTTTACACCAATTTTGAAGCAGAAAATAGTAGTTATTTCAAAAACTTTACATTTAACCATTTGCTATTAATTCCAGTAAACGATCCTGTGTATGTTAAATGGTTTGCGTTGTTTTCTACAAGACAGTCTGCCAATGTTTTGAGTTCAGCACTAACAGTATAAACATTTCAAAATTTGTGCCCGGCATTTTCATTTGAATAGAAACAACCTTTAAAGTATGAAACCAAGAATGAGAGAATGAGTTGAATTTAACTGGTCAACTTTACTAATATAGTTTCCTGAAACAAACCTAGATGGTATTGATGAGACATTCAGAGGGAATTTGTAACTTTATTTGTCTTAATTTGTTGTCGAAGTGTCAAAAACTATCAGCAACTATGCAGTAATGCTAACCGTAAAAGGTCAAAAGTGCGCAATTCATTCGTAGTTGACCAATTTTGAAACAATCTAAATCAATAATTGGAAGAAACTGCTATAGGTGGCCTAATGCCACGTTGAAAAACAAGGAAGTAAGCTTCTTCCTTGACGAAATTACATTATTTAAACTATTACTTAATTGTTTTCATGAACCTTTTTACTAACGATGCTGTTTTATTTAGTTGTGCAAACAATCTTATAAATTTACGTCCCTAGTTGAAAAAACATTCATCCCGTTCTCTGTTTTACCACAGAGCTTAAGAAAAGTACGAACAAAAAGCAATTCAGATTTTGGAAACGTTCCTTAAATGCCATAGGAGCCGACTGCTGCAGAACTTTACGTACATTTGATCAGTCTTCAGCATTAAAAATTCAGAATAAGACATATCTTCATGTGAGAGAAAAAATGACCATCAAATCCTTTACAGAGCGCTTCCCATGTTAGCAGAATTGTGATGGATCAAATAAATCAATTTTCAGAAAAAACTGGCTGAAAATTATCGCAATGGTTTCCATAAGTTAGGGTAAACGGAAATTTTTGATGTGCCCCCGTGTGATATAACGCCGGCAAACGCGGTAAAAGCGCAACTTTGTGAAAATTTATTCACCGCAGGTAGACTTGTTGAATTGCTTACATAAAAATGATGGTGAGTTTGCTAAAAAAAGTTATAACGTATTTAAGTATCATTACTGCAACTGTGTCAAAAAGGAAGTAAGATTAGGCGCTTGGAAACCACGACTTTTTATTGAGGCACTAAGGTAATTGACGTTGGTCAATCGAACCAATAAGGAGGGTTAATATATTTTTAATTTGTCCTAAATGGTTACCAGAAAAAACGCACTATTTAATGATCAAATAATCCAAGCAAAAGAAGAAGGCTTTGCAGTAAAAGGGACTTTGCATGAAACTAAGTATACAAACAAGAAAAAAGAAGTAATGACTGATATTAACGTTAAGTGACAACCCTGAGAGACTTGTCAAACCTAAACGACTATTTGAACATCGATTTTTTGCTTAGGCTTTTTATTATTTTGTGTTGAAAGCAACAAAAAAAGGTCTAGATTATGTACATGAACCTTTAAATACGAAGACCGTTAACTCTTTGCTCCATATATTCGGCTGCACATACATGCTTCAAGTTAAATGGTAGGCACGTTGTCAGTTACCATTAGAGTGTGAATTATTTTTGACCTGCGAAATAGCGCGACTTTGGGAGAAATAATTGCACCCACATGCTTAGTTCGTAGATGTTTGGCTCACATAAGGTAGCCGCTTATCTCCATGAAAATTATAGGATTTTTATGCATATCATGTTTAATTTAAAAGTATGTATCTAAAATTAACAAGCACCTGGGACTATAAATTCATTCCTAGCAACTCCTTAACACTTGGGATCAGAAAATTCTGCGATCTGGCTTATAGCATGCTTGGTCCTGATCAAGATGTGTGAATACTCTTTTTGGCATCCCAAGCCAATGTGCGCGAACGGTTCAGCAAATAACGACCTCTAATTTCTCTGTACTTTCCTTATAAACAGTCATCCTAGTTCAATTAGGAACATAAAGTACAAATGAAAACCCACACTTTGACATGAGTGAATCACATAAATTAAGATAATAGAAATTATCACTACGACCAGCATCTCATGTAGACTTGTCATGGCATGAAACACATCGTAAAATTTTGAAATTTCAAACCACTACGACCAGGACATTTATGCGTTTACTAGGCAAGAGTGAAAAATGAAAGAAGTGTTGACGATCTATAAAGTCGCTAACTTCCGTGAAAAATCAAGAAGGATTTGATGATGCCTTCCGCAGACAACCATCGCAAAATACGAACTATTCTTCATCTTAGAGTATTACACAGCAACTGGATAGTTGTTTTGATTTGAAAACAGAGCTGTAGGTTAAACCACCGATTCCTACTCTTTGACGCACACGATATATTTGTTGGGTTAAATTTATAAAATCACCTTACTACATGCTCTCTTACCCATTATAAGTATCATACAAATCAGTTCACCTTTCACGGCCATAGGTGGGGCTGATTGTACAGTTTTTGTTAGCGTGTAAACTAGACACTAGGCGTTATATGAATGTGGATTCTGATTGGCAGAATCGCTTGACTAATACGGCCTATGATGCGACTCGTGCCGTTGGTCAGTCTGTTTAGCAATAGCAATACGACCTTACTGCTCCTAAGTACACATTTACTGCACATAAATTAATGTGAAATGGTCTGCTCAAAATAAACCTTTCTTGTTGTGGGCGATCGCAGTCAGTGTAAATGTAACCTGCTGCTTTCGCAGAACTGGCCATTTTCGATCAAATTGAGAAAATAGAGGAATAACTCTTGCTGCTTGTGCTACTTCTTCAGTACCGTAGTTAAAATATAGAAATCGATTTAAGTTATTGATGAAGTATTTCGCCAGAATTCAGTTTGTTTGAATGTGCAGAAAACTTTATTTTTCCCCCATGTGGCTCGGACAATTTGAAATATTTAAGTAATGATTAACGTCTGGTCACGTGGATGGTGTGGTGAGAACTTCTAAACTGGCGCTCTATACCAGCTTTGATATTTACTATAAATAAGAATCCATGCTCCTAACTAAAGAGACCCAATGAAGCTTTGCCTAAATAAAGACTAATTGCTTAGCAGGTGTTGCTCAATCAGACAACGAAAATTTCATTCTTCGATTATATGGCCACCCACATGCCAATCGACCGCAAAAAATAGGCAATCGGCTCTACTTGCATGTATGCTACTAGAATAACCCACACTGCCAACGAGTTCTTAGAAGGTTGGCTCGTTTTGCTGTTCTGTTCTGATTTATTTGCTGATTATGAGAAAGCCCACTGCTGTTTGAAATAAAGCCTTTGCATCAAAAACATACCTGATATCTCCATGACCAATAAACTGACAACTAAATTCGGCAAAGTAACACTACAAATAAATTATACGTGTCAGTATTCACTCTGAATTGGCCTACGATCTTCTAATTACCCCTAATGTTCCAATTTCTTATGAAATCACTCGGGTTACCATAATAATAGTTCTTTGTGGCACGCTACAAACATTCCTTTTTTAAAATTACTTAAAAACTAATTCTTAATGGCTTAAGTGAATTCCGTCCCAATTTTGATTAATCAATCAAATACTTAAATCTGACGGTAAAACACGGGGAGGATGAGCTTTTTGAATATTCATTTGGCATCTGTCGTTGGCCATATCTGCCAACTCTCTTCCAATAAGCAAGCGAAAAACACATTATGTTCTACCAAAAAATATAATCTTTTTCGCAAAAAGATGAAGGCGTCTTAAACACAAGTAGACAAAGTTAGGTGAAAATGACTATAGCTGCAGCTAGGCAGCATCGTCAATAAAAGAATTCATGTGGTCATGGATAATGACATTCAGAAGGCACCTGATGTGAAAATGGGTCTCTCTCGTAAAAGGACGATAAAAACTGATATCTGGGTTAAAATGACTTGCTGGGTGATACAACTGCATCTATACTGCAGAATGTCAAACAGATATTAACAGTAGCAGCGAAGATGTAAAAAATACTTACTTTACTACTGGGCATGTTATTAAAAAGTCTAATTAGTCGAAGATTTCCCGACCTGTCTTCGATAAAACAAAATGTCGCATGTTGCCAGGCCCTATAGTTACCAACATATAGGACAGTACGACTGTACCGAACGAGGCAATCTCAATTCGGATCTATTTTACGGAGAAGATTATGATGTCAATCAAAGATTAACTAGATCACTGATATACAGTGTATGCTAGCATACCTAGGCAAGTTCCGAAAACTGCTTATGTAACTCTCTATATTTTGTGTTCTAGTTAAGAATATTTTCCTGGCATTAATCAACGGTCATGCCATAAAGAATATAAAGGTGGGAAATTAATACTAGTTAGGTATCGTTGACAACAATTAGCAGCACTTAAGAAAAGTCTACAGTGGTTTCCAGTCTAACTAAAGAGTGAATCTAGGTGTAATGGTTCATTAAGTCATAAAATTGGATCCCACTACCAAATGAGCTACCAGATTCGACCCCGATGACTGCGAACGAGATTACAGTAAGCCACTTAGAAACGAGTTTTGCGGCTGGAGGACGAATCGGGAATGTCACCTACGAGCCTTGGATCTGGCGCTGATTTGATTTTAAGTCGCTCTTTGTCCTAGCATCCCCTGGCCTCAACCTTTCGGGCCTCCAACGCCTGTAGTTTGGTTTTGCTGAATAGTGACAGCTAAGAAGTCAGAAGTGTTCATTTCGTCGTCCCAGTCATTGTGCATAGTATTTCTAAGTGTCCGTTTGCGTCGAGCATTTAGGACGTGTAGATAAAAACGACTCAATTGTGAACAGCATTCGATGGTGTGCATCTGCCAAAATATGTAAGCAACATAAAAAAAATTTTAAATTAGTCAAGCCTACTTTTTCCACACTGTACTACTGCCTCGGGTTCCGAATAATGAGGTCTTGTGGGTACAATCCTCCAAAGCCATCCCGACAGCCAATCAAAACAACTTTTAGTTCCTTTGGAAAGTCGTAAACTATTGCCTAATTCTGATAAATGGCATTCTGGTAAGGGTATTCCCTCGTTTTAAAATTCGGATTCTCCCCTCGCTTAAAATGTTATGTGGATAGTCGTGGACGATGGCGATTAGAAACTATTAGATAGACGAATTTCTTAAACATTCGCGTACAAAATAAAAGCCCTGTAAAATATCTTAACATCATAGGTATCCTGCTTCCCCTAGAATTTTAAGATTTTATTTGTTTTTTGGCAGTCCAATGCAGGCTTGATTGCTGAAGAGCTTATTTAGCTCTCAATGATAATATGTGGGCCTTGCATTAACCCATAGATCTGGGCCGAATTCCCTATCCAATGAACGGGCTAAGTTGCCCGTATTTATGCAACAAGTTAATCACTGGCACTTGTTGCATCGGGTATCCTGATTTAGCTTGGTTTTATGGGACCGTCAAAAAAGTTTGCTGCGAAAACGTGTATCGGTTAACTTGATTGTTGATATTTTCAGGTCAAAATATCAAGGAGTACTCAGTAGAGGTCAAAATCTGCTTCATTTGCGCAAAAAATTTCACTTTCAATACTCACTTTAGCAAACTAAAGGGGAATGGGGCTGTCAACATCTTTAATGATGGGTGTTTCTGAAACAAATAATTTAACGCATTTTACGCTTCGATTCAGTTAGTGTGAAATGGTTTGGCTTATGCACTCATGATTTCGCTTACCTTGAAGTTGAATAATCAAAATGAGAAATATTCATCTGACGCAACTGTGAAAACCAGCGTAACATATTATCTTTGCATTCAAGACTGGTGCTCTATTTTCAGCGTGCTTCATTTTTAAATGTTTAATTGTCCTTAATGAGCTTTTATCTTTTTTTAAAAACTTGTACCTTGTTTAACGCCGAGCAATTTATTAACCATTCATAATTCGGTTAGTTCTAAGCAATAGCCAGCTTTAGGTCGTTTTACTGGCGGTTTTGCAAAAGGGCCCCTTGTTAAACCCACTCTTTTCTGCACATAATTTTAAACTTTCATTTTTGTAAATGACATTCTGCGGAATTTTCATTCTCGATACAAGACTCAAACATTGATTTAACATTTTATGCTGGTCGTCTACCGTCAGCCCTTACGTTTCTCAAGAATTGTGAGGTTGGTATTCTGTTTGCCATCTTAGGCAAAGTAATTCTGTCTTGTCGTTGTTTCATGGACGAAGTATATTTGTTTCGGAAAGTAGGTGCAAAATTCGACCGCGGTTTTATCTGAAAACCTCCCATCACATTTCCTTTTACCTTGTCTGTCAACTAGGACGTGGATAAAACCGGCATAAGTGGATTACCTGCGATAAAATGGGTTAGCAGAAGTATGCTTGAGGCAGGTCTTCTTGTTTTTTAACCTCTGGAAGCCGCGCTACCAAAACAAGCGTGGTCAATTAAGGTCTTTTGGGTCGCAATAATCTTTCGCTACATGGCGCTTCGACTTTCGCGCCTTCGCCCCGTACGCAAGCATACATAAATATATATTACGAATTTTTCACGCAAGATCGCTGATTTCTGCAGGCAATGGGCTTTTATTATTTCTGGCACATGCGTCATCAACTTGGTTGCCCGCTAGATTTCATGAAAGGGACACTACTGTCGGCTGGCTGAGAAGTTACTCAATCAGAGCATGCCAAGACTGTGGTGTTCAGATTTCAGAACTGAGATTCCCAGATCAAAGGAATACTTAGACTATATCTTATGTGACTGAGTGAGTATGTACAACGAGTGATTTCCTGTACATTACGGCAAATAGAGTTTGCCGTTAAAATCAGTCTTATTACACTGTGTTGCGTAATAAATAAACTCGCCAATGACGCGTGATGTGTGCATATGTGTGTAAAGTATAAGGAGCGTTTCGATATACATGATTTGGACAAATCTTACCCAAAATTTAATAGTATATAAAAAGATTACTCCGTAAATCTGTGCGTGAAATGCTAACAGGAATGCATGCGGGTTTATGAACGCATTTGGTTTTTACTTAGTGAATTTTCACTTTTTGCGGAGGGTTTCGGAAGGCATCTCAAGCGAAGGAAGTTAGATCAGCGTATTTCAATAGAGACTATTGGTTTTCATGCCAATTTCAAAATGAACTTACCTGACGTGTTCCTCGAACACAAGATGCAAAAGACGAATATGCATGCTGGCCGGACTCAAAGTCTTAATCAATTTTCATTATCGACGAGTGGTTTTAGGGAACAGTATTGCATCGTCCTTGTGCTTACTACTTATTTTGCTGAAGCAGCATTCTATTTGTTGCAAAATTCCTTTAAACAGACACGCTTTACGAACCATTAAAAAGTAAAACAAGGGTAAAACGAAAGGGCAGCTAAGGAACAGGGAAACCTTTTGCTTAAATATCCTGCTGTACGAATAAGATTTAGAATTTAAATTTCTTCATGCTATTACCTGCTGACTTCTAATTTGGCATTAGTCAGGTTTGGTATATAGGGGCAAAG